AACATCTAGGCACTAAGGCCAGTAGTTCAGGTCTCCTGATAGCCAGATTAAAATATTCTCTTGGCAAAATAAATATGGCAAGAAAACAAGCAACAAAATCACCTATGGTTGGGACCTCAGCAGAGTTCCGAAGTTCATGGCAAGAGTTGAAGGAGAACGTGCAGGTTCAGTGAATGCTTCCTAGAAGAGAACTAGATCAGAGGTTGTACCCTGCCCACTGGAATTTTGCCTGTAGGCATGGTTGGTTTGGCCTGCAAATGCTGCTGACAAACTTATATTCAGCTGAAGTTAGAAAAAAATTGAGATATTTAACATTAAAAAGGTCCAGATTGGTGTCAGCAGTGGCGTAGTTGTTAGGGTGCTGGACTCCCACATGGCTGATCACAGTTTGAGTCCCGAACCTGGCAGCTTGAAAAATCTCTCTAGGTGCATGTGCATGAGTATTCAAAATCTCAGGAGGAAAAGGGATTGCGGTGTGGCCATCCCTCCTGGGAGGCGATTTCTCACTTTCCGTCTCACTGTCTTTGGCAAGCCCAAGGTCTCTATGGCAAAAAAACTAAAAAAGAAAAAAAAAAAGAGGTTGAAGAAAAAAAAGTCCAGATTTCTGGCTTTTATTGAAAAAGATGTGACCATCTGGCTTGTCAGCATCCACACCCCCACCACCAACCACCCAGAGTTGATAGAGGCTGCCTTCCTTGGAGGTGGCTCCCTTGGCTCCACTGCGCTGTGGGTTTCCTGGACCCTGAGGCCTTGTGTCAGCAGCCTCTCTCCCATGCACCCCTGCTGGTCTGTGGAGAGTCTATCTCCACTGGACCAGATGAGGCCACAGTGAGGAGCTTTTAAACTCCCAACCGGGCTGTCTGACCTGACATGGCTGTTTTAGCAACAGAAGCATGTCACAATCTAACCGAGGCAAAGACTTCTCTGGCTGAGGCATTCAAATACAAAATTTATTGAGGAGTACGACTAGAATCTTTTAGAGAAGAGCCAGAAAAAGTGGAAATGAAATGTATCGCAGTGTGAATGGGCTGGAGTAGAGTAACATTTCCCCCCAGTTACGGAGCGAAACACTTGGCCAGGATCAATGTACACGGTGGAGTGATGAAGTACCCTATGTGTTGACACAACATGCTTCGCTTCTGCTACATCCACACCTGGCCGAGGTAGTGCTTTCAGATATGGGAACAGGATGTCAAGCGTTCCCAGGTGTGGGACGAGCCTGAATGGGCTAAAAACACCCACGTGGAAGAGAGCCATGGACTAACCTAATAGCAATCCTTTTTCATAAAGGAGACCTGAACTAATGCGTGTGGTACCCTGTGTCAGAAGTGCTGGCACCACTTTGGCTCTTAATTACGTGGCCCCAAACCTATATAAGCTAGCTGTTTGCAACACTGTTTTTTTTTTTTTTTTTTTTTTTGCTGAATGAGCAGTCCAGAGGTGTGGTGATATCTCCCCAAATATTAGGTTTGGAAGCTTTTGCTCCTATCCCACTCTTCAGAGCCCATATGCCCTACAAAATTCCTGCCAATGCGTTTCAGAGTGAGTAGGTATGTAGTCACGCTGGGCTGGAGCCTTCAGAGGCCCATCTGGTGAACATATCCAACCAGGTAAGCTTTTTTTTTTTTTTTAAGAGTTTTTTTGCTATGAGGTGCATGTGCTGTCTGGAGAGACAGAGACAGACAGAGAGACAGAAAACGAGAAATCATCCCCCAGGGGGATGACCACACCACAATCCCTTCTACTCCATTTTCCTCTCAGGATCTTGGGCACGCACACACATGGGCCCTGTGTGAGTTTTAAGCCGACAGTCCGGGACTGGAACCACAGTCAACTACATGGGAATCCAGCAACATAACCCTTATGCCATCTGCTGGTCCCCAGCCAGATAGTTTATTACTGGTGTCAACCTTGAGTTATGATTTGGAACATGGAGGAGATACACAAGATTCCAAACCTCTATGTAGTAAAGAAGAGGACAAAGGAAACAAGCCTTCCAGATGTAGGGTCACACAGAGACCCATTTACTAGCTGTGTGACTTGACAAGTCACGTTCCAGTTAATCACTCTCTAGGCATGAATTTACTCATCTGAGAAAAAGGCAAAGTCATAAAGTTGACCTGTGCAAAGTCACTGGTACCCAGAGGGCACCGACACCATTCCTCGAAGCTTCCCTTCTTTTCATGGAATGCAAGAAGCTACAGGTCTTTAGAAGTCAAGCAGTCTGACTCTTCACTTAGAGGTGTCCGAGTCAAGGCACCCAGAGGTGAGACAAAGAGTGACGTCATCAGGTGGTAGCATCAGGTCGCTTTTGAGACCAGGGCTCTGGTACATAGGATCACCTTATTTTTATGGAGATTCTTTCGGATTTTCTATGCATATAAGCATATCAGTTGCAAATAAGTTTGGCACAGACCTTCCCACTTCCTGTTGTTTCTCACCCTCTCCAGCTAACATGTCTTGGCTGTTTGCTGGGCCTAGGTATGTATCCAAGCTTGGTTTACCCACAGTAACTGGCTGAGCTGCCCTGTTAACAATTTGGATTACTGGTTAACCAAAGGGGGCCATGCATACTCCAGTTTTATAAATCACTTTTGTGTCACACACAAAAGTGACCCCACGATCACATGCTAAGCTTGCTTTCTGGTTTGTAGGGGGATGGTTAAGCTTCACAAATTTCAGCCAGCAAAGTCCCGACTGTGCTCATCTGCAGTCTCACAGACTAGACTTGGGAAACCTCCACTGATAAGGACAGAAAGGCTGAGTGCCCTTGATCCCCAAGAGAACTGCTCTGTGAGGATGACTTCACTAGCCTGCTATGTTTTAGGAAAGAACATGGCCTTCAAGAGCAGCCAGAGTTTTAGATCCAGAAAGGGAAACTTCACACTCCACGCAGCATGTTGTCACTGTCTCCTTCCCTTTCTCTTGGGGACGGCACAATTCTGAGACGGCATTTTAAAAACTAAATTATGATTCCAGAATTGACATCAAATGCCATTTGTAAACTACAGTTCACCGGACACCACTGAAAGTTAGGCGTAAATGAAAGGATGGAAAGAGAGCTCCCCAGAAATCTTATGAGGCATCCTCTCCCCCCATACCTCGCCTCCCCCCCATACCTCAATCAAATAGTTACACAGTGCCAACTGTCACCAAATCTCCAATGATCACAAGGTTGCCACCTTATTTATGACCCTGAGAACAGCATGGAAGTATTGTCTCTAACTCTTACCCTAAACAACTGAGCAGAGCGAATGAATAGATATTCTGTGAAAAGGGGCAAAAAGTAAAAAAAAATGGATTAAGGTTGCCTGAAACCCCATTAGTCCAACCACTGATTCAAACCCTTATTTGAATATGCTATTTTAAAGTTGTTTTGTGACAAGGCAGCAGACCAAATTTAAATCATTTAACCGACTTGAGTCCCAAGCCTGAATTCTCTGGTGGATTATTTTTAATTTAAAAATGAGCTCTTGCCCTATAAAATAAGCAGCGCCAAGGAGAAATGCAAGGCAGCTGACAGGGCCCCATAGGTACAGCGTGTACGAAAAGCTCAAAAGTATTGCCGTATTTCCACTTCTGTGTTCAGAAAATGCTCCTGGCAGTCCAGCTGCAGGTTATGAGGTGGTATAGACAGGTCTGTCTGTGAAACTGCTCCAGAAGAGTTTTAAGTGACAGATGTCATAGGTGTTACAGTATGGCCACAATGCAACTCCATGCAGCCACGGAAAACGCAACCATGTCTAACTAGGTTTCAGACAGAAAAAAATATGCGTGATAATATGAATTACACAGGAAGATGCAGGCCATTTTTGGAGATAAACTTCTAACTGTATGTGGGTATTAAAAAACCCTCCGGAGAACCAGCAGTTAGCCTAATGGCTATGTCGCTGGATTCCCACGTAGTTGAATGTGGTTCGTGTCCCAGACCCGGTGGCTTAGAACTCACGCTGGGCGCGTGTGCGTGCGTGCCCAAGATGCCGAGAGGAGAATGGAGGAGAAGGGATTGCTGCGTGACCATCCCCCCTGGGGGGTGATTTCTCGCTTTCTATCTCTATGTCTCTCTCTGTCTGGTGAGCGCACGTGCCCTATAGCGAAAACCTCTCAAAAACAAAAACAAAAACAAAAAACCCTCCAGATACACTGACATCTATGATTCTACGCTTTGCTGTGAGGGATATGCATATATGGCTTTGAAAGTCCTGAAAGACGCACACTAAACTTAACAATGGTGGGAAAAGAGGGAAGAGGGCTTGGCCTTTCACTTAACTTTGGTTTTGGTGGTTTGCATTTTCCACAAGGGCATGGATAACTTTTGAAAACTAAATAAAGCCTAAGGTGATGGGCTTCAGAGAACTGTAACGACAGTTCCCGTGTGTCCTGGTTCAATTCCTGACGGACTCTTGCTTTCACCCCACTTAGTACAGAAACGCTGCACAACGCCTCAGTCCCTCCCAGTCCTCGCAAGGCCAGGCGAGGGAAAGGCGTGGCTTGCAGCAGGAGGAAAACAGGCTATAGGCGCCCTTTTTTTAGCTACACTCTGGAGAGCTCCCACGTGTCAGAGGCGCGCAGACCGTAGGCGCGGGGTGCAGGAAGAATTCAGTACGAATCCTGCCAAGCCGGGTGCTGTTAAAGGGTGCGTTTAGGTCGCCCATTTGCTCCCTCCATTTCCAAAAAGAGTCGGCTTGCGGGTCCACGTCTGACCTGCGCGGCCCAGCCGTACCAAGCACACCCGAGTACACGTCTGCGGAGAACGCAGGCACCGGGCTGTTTCCGACGAGCAGCGAATACCCATTAACCGGGGGTCAGTGCTCCCGCAAACGCAAACCCCGAGTAACTCTCACGGTGGACAGGTGGGCATGGGGCACGGTGGACAAAGTATAAGCATTATTTTTGAGACAAGAGAGATTCCACTCGCCTCTCAGGGCCTGCGAGCAGACTGGAGGACAGAGTTCCGGAAGGTCGCGGGGAGGAGGAGCACGGGCTGTTCCTGGGCTTACCTTGCAGGGAAACAGGACCGCCGAGGCCACCTTCTCCATAGCCAGGTTCCTGATGCTGGGCGTCAGGGCGCCCCTGCACGTTGGGCAGCAGCTCAACTTCTGGCGGCATTGGTTACACACCAGGTGCCCGGCCTGGCACTGCAGGATGGGGGGCAGGACATAGTCAAAGCAGACAGGGCACTCGAAGAGCGAGGTCAGCTCGTGGTGCTGCGGGGACACCGGGCCGGCCCCGCCACCGCCGCCGCCGGGGCCCGAGATCACC